CACACACACACACACACACACACACACACACACACACACACACAAGCACACAAACACTTCTAATGATTTGAACTGTCACTTTATTTTTGGTGTATTTTTTAATGATTCCACCCTTTGAACTTCTTGTCCTCTACACCAGTGGTTTTCAAACTTTTAAGCTTCTGGCCCAAAAAAATTAAGTTGCAGAAACTTGTGACTCCACATATTACTGGTTTACTTATGCAAACCTTGCTAATATTGGCATAATAACAATATAAACAACCCTAATAACGACAATGCTACTTTTATTCATTTATGATTATTGTAAATTGAATTATTTGCAATAATTAGTGTGAAAATATATTCCATTAGCAATTTATTTGCATTTAAATTTATGTCTGGAAATCATCTAGGGATCCTCACTTGATATTTTCTGACCCGCAAAGGGGTCCAGACCCCAGCGTTGGGAACCAATGCTCGTCACACTGTCTGACCTCAGTAATTTGCAGAACCTAAATATTTCCCAACATTTTAGTGTAACACCTTTAATCCTACTTATGAAATAACAGAATGGTGTAATCCCGTTTTCTATAATTCCACTGATGTATGAAAAATCCAACACCTCCCTCCCTCACCTCGGCCCAAACCAAATGTAGCAGATTGATGTGAACACTTTCTTACCTGCTGTGCTGCACAGTTTCTCATAGGGGCTGCAGGCTGGCCTTTGTGTGGAGCTGCTGTGGTTCACTGGATCTTGTGACGTAACCTCTGGGTTTCTTAGAAGTCCATTTGAACTGAGCCGGAGTGGACAACATGGCAGCGAGGCGTGAATGCAGGTTCACGCTGAATATTACTGCCTTGTTGGCCGGCAGTCAAGGACTTGTATTATCTGACAGCACAAACAGTATTTTATCATGACAGCCAGCCAACAGGGTGAAACCAGTTTCATTTTTAAATTCTAGATTAGTGTTTTATACAGGTTTTCAGTGTCTTTTGGTTTTAAACAAACAATGTCACATTTTCTCAAAGATCTCTTATATTTATTTTCATATTTAGCGCACTTTTTAACTTTAATCTCTTATGTGAAACTTTAATTCTGCCACTAAAGTTGTAGAATATGAAAACAAACTTGACTTGAAATTATGTGCACAAGATTGCAAACTTTTAAAGGAGAAGGCTCGTGATGTGGGAGGTGAAATAGCCTGTGTAAATGAATAAAATTAATTTATTTATTTTAAGCAATTAAAGGAATTAGAATTACAGTTCATATTTGTAAAACAGTTATTCCTATCAAATAATCCTTAACTGTTAACAAGTATGCATTTTAGATACTGTGTGTAAATGCTTTAATTTGAACGGATTGCATTAAACTTTTAATTAAAGTTTAGTTGGACATGACTGAGCTTGATTCTTTTGGTGCTGATGATTTGTTTTATTGTAGTTTGCCACTTTAAGATTAAATCGGCTCTATTTGAGCATAACTTCAAGTAAAGTATGCACTGTAGAAGTGCAAAATAAGAATCAGGGTTTAAATTTCCAGTGTTTAAAGGTGCAGAAAAGATGAGAAGACGTGAGCAGATGAGTTCAAAAAAGTTCTCTCATCTGAAATCGTTCTGTTTTCCTGTAGGAAGTTTTAACAAAGCACAATTTTCAATACTGTTTGATTTTGGGTTTATATATATTTTCTGAAGGCAAATCAGTGCGACAAACACAACACAAAGTCTTCTTGCTTTGTATGCACTTCAGTGGATCAAATAGCTGATCTTTTATTCAGTCGTCCGTTTCCTCCTCCCCCTCTTTTTGTTGACACGACAAAGAGTCGAGAGCCGTCGGTGAGCAGGTGCAAAACTATGCAGCAACATTTCCAAGGCGTCTGCCTTGACCTTTTATGGTGAGAAGTTGAGTGCTCAGAGGGCAGGACCTGTGACAGATCCGTGGAGAAACGTTTTTGTAAACTTTGAAGAGGGTTGTTGGACTTCGATCAAAACAGAGTTTGGCTCATGGTTTCTATTTTTTAAACTTGTTCTTTTTTAAGTCAAGTTCAAAATAATAGTTTTCCTCAATACATTTTTGAACAAAAATCATGTAAGGTTAGAAGTGCAGCACCTTTAAATAAAACTAGGAAGCTGAGTGTTGAATGAGTTTGATGAAGTTTGCAGAAGAAGCTGGAATTGAGTTGTTGAACCTCAAAGAGCCAGAGCACTTTCAGAAAGCCAAAAGTAACAAAAAGCTAGATAAAAATAGCAAAAGGCTATTTTTATTTTAAAGTTAAAGTAGCAAATGTGGAGCTAAAAGCAAAAAGTAGCAGAACTAAAAACTAAAAGTAGCATAAGAAGACAAAAACATAGGCAGTATGATGAAGCCAATTTTAAAAGAATGTTTTAAATGAATTGAAGATACATGTATCTTAATGTATTTCTTTGGAAGTACAATATAAAACTTACAAAAAAAAAACAAAAGCTAAAATATAGTATAGCAAATTACTTGGATTGTATAAAAACATATAGTAAAAACAGGGAACAGTGTGAATACTAAATTACCATTTCTTTCTTCAAAATTTTTCAATTACCAAAGTATAAAGTAACTTTACTAAATCAAATAAACATTTTAAAACTACGGAAACTGAGAGCGGACATTTTCTGCATATAATTATTTCAACCTGGAGAGACTCACACAGAGAAAAGCGGAGATTAGAGAATTTATTTGACTTAAATACATTTAAAGTTTAGGCTCTCAGACCCCAGCAGAAGATGTGTGTGCTGAGAATTGCAATAATCTGGAATAAGCGGCTTCAGATGAGGAATAGAGGTTTTCGTCTCGTGCATCATTCAGTAACCATGAAGACGGCCTGGTCCCCTCAGCTGGACGTCAATGAAGTTTACTATTTATTTATTAATTTATTATTTATGTTTGTTTGTTTGTTTGTTTGTTTGTTTGTTTGTTTGTTTGTTTGTTTGTTTGTTTGTTTGTTTGTTTAGCCAGACAAATCCCATTGAGATCGCAGATGTTTTTTGCAAGGGCGGCCTGGTCCTGAAGGCTAACTAGTGTACATAATTTTGTCATTTTTGTATCATTACACAGGCTGAAATTGCAAGTTGTTTGTACTTTTTAAATTTATTTATTACAGGGACAGTCTGTATTAATAAAATTTCTGCAAAAATGCCAGAATTAGTCAGAAGGCTATTTTTCTTGAACAGATAACTTTCATATCAGCCCTCGTCATCTGGAGACGGGTGGCCCGACTGCAGATCAGCAGGCGTTTACACACAGATCCTGCTTGTATAATAAACTTTATCGGTGACCAGCTGAGGGGATCGTGTCATCTCCATGGTTACTGAATGATGCACAGAAAATCATAACTCATTTTCTTGAGAATTCGGTCCTCGCCAATTTGTGATAATGACATAATATGATATCAAATGTCATTATCACAAGAAAAACAGTGAAAATAATTATATGTTGAAAACAGCTGCTCTTGGCTTCCGTATAAAACACTAATGTAGAGCATACTGAGCACCTAAAAGAAACCAAACTTTAAGCTACAGAAAGTTGGTTGTATCAGCTGCTGCTGCATCTTTGTTTTCCTAATTATCTGATAGTTGATTGCAGATTTTGATATTGGCCAAATAATTAGTATACCTCTATGTGTTGAGCTGTTTTCCATTTTTGTTTTAGCTCAAGTTCAAATAATGTCTTTCCTCTAGCAAAGAAAATCGTAAAAGATGATGCTGAAGCTTGTTAAGCTGTTGGTTTTTAATCAAACTTATTTTACGAATGTTGAGATGAGTGTAGAGAAGTGAAGCAAGCCAGGAAAAAAAAACATCTTATATTTTTTGTTATCATAGAAAAAGGTGGAACTTTTTTCCCCCGGTTTTGTCCTGAGATGTTTTCCTTTTCTTCCCGGAGGGATCAGTTCTGTTGCGAGCAGGCCCACAAAGCTTCTTGTTTATCCCCTCAGTAAGGTAGTGGGTAAGAAGGATTTCCGCTTGTGCAATACACAGCAACAGTGACAACACAAATTATTTTAATCAGCTTGCCAGACTGTGTAACACCAGTTAATGAGCAGGTATCAGGGGGCACCGCGGCTCTGAATGACGTGTGTGATAAACTACAACCGATGGAGGAAAACATGGATATTTTCTGTACGTTTACTCTTTAAACGAACCTTTTTTTTTTTCTTTTTTTTTCTTTTTGACCTTTGGCCTGTTTTGAGTTGTGCCTGACCTGAAACCTAATTCTTTTGTTTTGAACTTTTTGAGGTTCAGGCTTCCCTCATCATACCTGCCTTTTACAACAAAACACACCGAGACACCAAAACACCCAGACAAGCTCCTGAAAAACATGTATGTTTTTTTATGCAGTTTTTTAGGCACGTCTGTAAACCCACAGTGTTTTCTGCTGGTTGGTGCTGTTTTACATTTCTTATACAAAAAAATAATAATAAGAATTAAAAATAAGCTGATTTTCAGACTATCATGGCTAATGAGACACTCATGATAGGTGAGAAACCAAGTAATCATTTGTGCCTGTGTGTCTGTTAGCAAAATATCTCATCAGTCACTGTATGAATTCTTAATGAAATGCCCAATTCGGTCCATTTTACAGAAACTGAGTTAAAATTTCATGTGGTAGTAGCTGAGAGTCATCCACAACACACGCTCCAAGCACTAACAGATCACTCAAGATCTTGGTTTCAAACTTTGGCATGCTGTCCATCAGGTGATTTGCATTCCTTCAAAGAATGCTAGTTTTATTTTGTAATGTTTTTTTTATGATTACATTTGCTTCATTGCTATATCTGGTTATTTGCATTAGTTAACCAGTAACCTATAGATATTAGTAAAATAGTGTGTAAATATTTATTTAGTTAATTTTTTAATGTAAGTTTGGAGAATAAACCTATACCCTGAACTTGTTTTCAACTCATAGATGAGCATCAAATGTCAAAAAACCTACATGCAGAGTTAGTAAAGCTCTAGCAAGGGGTCTTAAACAAGCTGGTAAGTTTCTCTAGGATGATTAAAGGTCAGGCTGTTTTTGAGAACAGAGAACTAAAGGTGAAAAATACATGTAGTTTTGCTGAGGTATCACCTTTAATCATGTTTTTGCACAAGCAAAATTATAGGTTTGCACATTTTATTAGCCTGATTAATAAATGCCAACAAGAATCAAACTGCTCCTTAGTATGTTTCAAGATTATTACAAATGTATTTATCGCGTGTGATTAATAAATACACTTCATGTGATACTGTAGAGTCGAAAAACATTTGAAAGTTTGCGGGAAAATGTAGTTATGTTCGTTTTGTTGTTGTTTTTCTTTTGACTAAATTAAAAATGTGTAAAATATGAAGTACCCAGATGTATAAAATCGTAAAGTAAAATATGCACACGTGTAAAAATGAAGTTAGGCAGTATGTATGATGGCTTAAAAATGTATTCAGTACTTTTGCAGAAATCCATATGTCAAAATAAAACAACAATTCTGATCTGTCATTTGGTTAAAAAAAATCCAAATTTTTAATGATTAAGTTTCTTTATTTAATTTTCCCTTATTTTTAGTTCAGCCCATTAAAAGTTTGTAACATTATTTTCTGAATTGCTGCTTCGGTGTTTCACTTCCTGATTTGACTTTAGCAAAGCTCTGTTTGGCCAAACCAAACCAGGCGATTATGAAATTTGGATTCTGTGAGCGCCTGGAGTTGAGAATGTTAAGCAACTTTAACAATCAGCGCCAACTCCGAGTTCCTCTGGTTGTTGCATAATATCATCATGTGACGCTGACATAAAGTACTTTGCAAAACTCTCGAACCACCCTTTATTGTTTCACTTCCAAAGAGACAAAGTTTTGTATTTTTTGTGTTTGTTTTGTTTTTGTTTGTTTGTTTTTGTTTTGTTTTGTTTTGTTTTGTTTGTTTTTTTTACTTGTTGCACCCTATCAGGCTGTGCAGTTTAAAAAATTAAATAAAATATGGGATGGGTGAAGGAAGTTGCAGATGGACTACTGAAAGTATCTGAAAGTGTTTCTTTAAAAAATTAATTATTTCTACAAAAAAATTCTGAGAGACGTATTTTATCCCATGTTCTCAGCAAGCTCAGAACCACTTAAAAATACAAGAAAATTTGGCTTCTTTGAAATAAGAAAATATAAATTAGTGACAGTTGGCTTGAGACTTTTGCACAGTTTTGCATACATTACAGCGGCAGCAGCCATTTCTCCTGTTGGTTCATTGTAATTACTAGAGACAGTTTTCACAAAGGCAATGATTTGCAGCACTGCGTGGCTATTATTCTGCAGACAAAAGCCAGTCTCATCTGGATATTTTCAGCCCTGCAGGAACATGCAGAGATGAGGATGGGGGGACTCTGTTGTTTTTTTTTAAGTTGTCTCTTTTTTATAGAAACATTCTGCCAGGTTATTAAATGTCTCCATTTTATCTTTCAGCTCACGACATGAAGAAAGGCCAATGTCCCCTTTCTACATGAGGTAGGCCTCCTTCTTGTCTGTGTGTCAGGAACTTGTTTTGGATTGGAGGAGTGGGGGAAGTGGTTGTCTCAGTGTATTATCATCAGAAACAATAGAGATAACGCAGGGCAGCGTGCACATGCAGCAGACGGGACAGGACTGTTTGGTTATTGTGATGGGGGGGAGCACTTGTTTCAGACACACTATCTCATCAGTTCATCATTTGTCTGACAAGATTTTATCATAGAGCGATGTGGATATTACTGATTAAAAAGAAAAATATGTTTTCTATATAGCATTTCTTGGTTGTAACAATACTTCTTGGCACTAAATCTTATACTGTTGGAAAAGCCTGTTCTTTTTTTTGTGCCACATTCATGATTTAGGCCCAAGAAAATTTAGCCAAATCTTCCTTTCTCGTGCCAAACAGCTTTTTTCTGCTATCAACTCTTGTTTTGAGCTTCTGCTACACCAGGTGTTGATAATCAGGTGCTGATTAGTGCCTGTTTGTCAGCACTTGGGAGCAACCAGAATTTATCAGACTTCCTCCCCAATGCAAATACAAACTTTTCATGGACACAAACGTACAAACAAGTGCTTTTTCCGGACAAATTTAGGGGAGATAAACAGGCTTTTAAAAGGTATAAGATTAACTATCTTTACAAGAAAGAAATTACTGACCAAACATATTTTTTAGTACTTTTTGTGCTTAAAATATGTCCAGAATTAGAGATCTCAGTTTGTCAGTAAGTTGACTTGTTAAATAACATGAAAGTTAATCAGGTATTTTGACAAATTTCTATTTTTATAACCTTTTTGTTAACCAAAAATAATGAAAAATTCCAGGAAATCTAATGCAAGCATCAATTATTCTAAAAATCACTGTCAAATGAAACAAAATTTCATAATTCAAGATGTTCTGGGAAGTTGCACTGAATGTACTTTTTTATTATTATTATTTCAATAAAACATTTTTTAAACTGAAAGATGATTTTATAAACTATGAAATTCATTTATGAAACTAATAAATAACTAATATGTTTAATATGTGTGAAACTAATGGTTCAATGGGCCTTAGAG